TGAAGGAAATCGCGATGAGCTTCAGCCAGGCGAGCCACTTAACTCGCATAGACTTTACAGTTACTGTACCCTCACAGGGATCTAAAGAACGATGCGAGAATGACAAAACGGTAAACATTAATCATACGTAAAATAATGCTTTTTCCTTTATTTACCTATGTCGTTTACAAGAGAAACGAACGCTTTTATATACCAAACAAGACGACCTTAGCTGGTCATTTTACAATGAGGTTACTCCACAGTATATAATGCCTTATATATTAAAATATTATTCTTCAAAAATGGAATAGATAAGTGTATGAAGGTAATAAATAAATATTTACAGTCCATGTATGAACAGATGTTGGTATACAATTTTATTTTCAAGAAATTACCGGGTTGGGGTATATATATATATGTGATTTTATGGCGTTACATTAATTATTTTTTAAGTTTTCTTTAGTTACTTTGTTTTAGTTTTGAGTTTCATAATATTGAAAGCTACTCTGTGAAAAGATATATTGTCAGTAACGATTTTGAATTAAATCTTTTTTTTAACAAGATATTGTGCATCTGCGACATGGAACCTTCGTCATCTCAGCACGACTATCACCAAGAGAGAGGCAAAGAATCCTCCTAATTTGAAATTCTAAAATATACTCCTTTTTTTTTCGAAAATTAATTATTTGTGCTGATGGAATCGAAAGGGTTAATGTTTTAGCCCTTGACCGAGTTCTTCTTAGCCTTATTATGAAAGCGAGGCCTAGTAAAGGACCATTCCTTAGAAAAAGAACCAACTGACATAGGCAGCAAGACTCGTTTTGAGAACGAGACCAGAGGTAACACAGAAAAGACTTCAGTCTGACGCAAATTTAAAATCATATAGTACAAAGCTAACTTTGCGGTCAAGAAAAAACGACGTTTGAATACTATTTTACAAATTGATACAAAACGCGCGTTGCAATTGGAGGTAATAAAAGTTATAAAAATACAATGGTTTCTCCTATTTGTCGTCTTTTAGAATGTTCCTCTTTCACAGTGACAACTTTCACTTCGGCTACTTTTTTAAAATCGGTGATCCATTTGTATAGCGAAGCAAGACAAAAAAAAAAAACGTTAGTTTTTATACTAAAAAAAAGAACTACCAAGGAGATTTGCAACTAATCACCAAGTGAATTGGCCGTCGATATGCGCAAGGGTGTATCTGAGAGCTGTAAAGTCTTCCTTTCTTTACTCGCCTTTGCGTACTTTTTTCAAATTCATCAAGAGGCACCACCTTTCACTCGGTTCTCCTGTCGTTTGCTGACGTTAATTTCATTAAGATGACTTCAGTTCAGATAAATTCAATATTCTTCCTAGCCTCATTATCAAAACGAGGCCCAGTACAAGAAAGAGCCAAGTAACATAGGCAGCAAGACTCGTTTTGACAACGAGACCAGAGGTAACACAGAGGTAACTTGAACGTTTCTTCTTTCCTCATACCCAGTGAGTGTCATTAGCATTTGGATTCCCAGGCGACTTGATTTGTTTGTTATGCAAAGGGCTAACTCTATCCCTACAAGAAAACCCAACAACAAACTAATGAATCACAATCACAGATTGAACCCAGCGGTAAAGGTTAACATTTGAGCTTGTTAGAGCGACTTTTCTCAGGATTTCAAGGTCCCATGCCTCAAATTTCAAAGCCACTATAAACTAAAATATGCCATGCCTCTAAACATGAAAATTTGAGGTCGTTCCTTTTTCTTGAACAATCATCTAGTGATAAATTTTCAAAGGTCTTGAAGTTCCTAGTGTAGTTTAAAAACGAGCCGACTCAGCAGTGAGAGAGTCGATTTGAGCTTGATTCTGATTGGCTGAAACGTAATACGCCCGCGTCGTAGCAAAGACACCTTCTTACCTTAAAGCCTTGTGGCTTCTTCTCGAGTAAGGGCTTCTACCTCGATGTCCAGGCACGGTAAGGCTTTTGAAGGCCTGCAAACAACAGAGAAAAGGTCAGAACAGCTGTGTGGCTCCTGCGTGACCCAACTATCGTTTAAGTCTGAGTAGTACTCACTTTTTATGTTTTTGTTTACCTTTTTGCCACTTAAAAGTTCGCAACAGAATCAATAAAAGTTGATCTGCGTGCAAAAATTAGTCAGTAAGGTGATTATATCGACTCACATCTACATCTCTGAGTAGAGCTTGAAATTCTTCGTTCTCCTCCAGCGACTTTGGAATTTCAGTGCATCCCCCGTCAATTGCCTCCTCTATTCGTCTTTTCAGCTGTGACAATCTTCGAATGTCATCGTTTACCTGCAGCTGAACATACGAAATAAAGTAACGTTAGGTTTCCTTAATGTAAGCCACAGTGACCTTGTGAAATAACATGATTTGGCTGGGAGGGGTAAAGTAACCATGTTTTCATCAGTGAGGGGAGGGGAGAGGAGGGGAGAACAGGGGTTAGCCGATGACCTGATAGGCAAATATACACAGTGATTGCACTAAAAGCCAATGATTCTGTGATCCCAAGAAACAGAATTTGGCCGTCATCCCCACATGAGTCTTCCCCAATGGATTCGCCATTTTTAACAAACGGTACACCATCTTAAGATGCATGCTCTCCCCAGCGTCCTAAGGCCATGCTACATTATTTGCTTATCGAGTCCCCACGTTACTTGGTCTTATGCTTCGCACATCCACGGATAGACAGTGCCTATCGCCGATGTGAAAGGAAAGTTTCAAAACGAATTTAGAATTCACCAACCTGTTTAGCTTTAGAAACCTCCAGCTGAAACTCAAGATCGACAGCCGTTCGTGTATCAAGATGATTAAACTGTTGGTACTGCTGTATTCCTTGCCATGACATTGGACGCTGTCGGTGGAAAAAAAGAATCCAAGTTACAACTCGCGTTAAATGGCAACCCCTATGAGACGCAGTGGCCTCATGCTTTGCGCGCTGGTTGTCACAAGGAGAATCGGTTAAACAATCGAGTTTCTTTAGTTTGGGATCATTTCCTTGATTCTCGCGACCTTAATGATGGATTCAGGGGTGATACTGAAAGAGAAATTGGACGCAAGTCACTCCTGTGAGTTAAAGAGTTATTCATCACATATTGCATCCTTTTATTATCTGTACGTGATCTTAACTCGTAATCACCTTTTTCCGTCTCATGCTGGTTCTTTCCACAGACATTCTCACAAACGGACTACCTTCCGTTTTCCGCGCGGTACAGTCCGAGTTACTGCGATTGAGATTTATGTCGCAAACCAGCCGACTCAAAGACATCCCATGAAGCTCGTCGCATTCCCCCTAAAAAAAAAAAAAAAACAGTAACATTAACGTCGCTCTAAAATCGAGTAGTGGAGGAAAGGACAAAACACCAGTTAGATGCAAAGACAATCGGAATCGCTTCTTGCCCGAATGCGTTGGACAGTATCTATGGGCTGTTTTCTTTGAGATATCACACAAGCCTTCTCGTGTTGGGTGGCGGTCCTTTTTTCACGCCACCCTTATCTCTCGTAAATGGGTGACTCGAGTTTCCTGCACTCGTTTATTCGTCCAGAGGAATCCAGTTCTCAGTGGTTCGCGGTTTCAATCGGCCGCTGCGGAGGGTTGGGTTTAGTTTTACCACAGTGCAGCGCGAGACAAGTCTTACTTTACATGCTTGATTTTAGTAATACCACCTAATTTGAACTTACGTGGCTTGGAAACGACAGCGGTTGAGGATCAGAAAACTTTCGCGAATAATTCGACTTCATCATGTGGGGTCTGGGGCGAGCTACAGGCGATCTATCGAAGTCGCTGTCTCTATCCTGTAGAGAGCCTCCGCTGATGACACTATCGCCTTGAGACTGCGCTCTTTCTACCGGCCTTCCAGCGGTGCGCTTTCGAACGGGTAGACTTTCCACTCCCTGATTAAGTACCTCTTGACTCACTGATCTGTAAGGGATACGTTCGAATCCAACCGCTGACTCCAGACTTAATGTTGAGCCCTCGCACTGAAATAGAGAGAATGGAAAATGTATTAGTAATATCACCTGTAGAAACGTGTCAGGGTTTTTGTATGTACAAATTAATGTCTACAATTTTTGCTTGATTAGCCCTGCTTATGGTTCCACGACTAAGGCCTTGACATTAAGCCGTAAAAATGATCAAAAGAGATCTGACTGTCTCTGAAGTGTCTTGATTTGCCATCAAGCTAACTCACAGGACTGTACGGGTAATATTTCCATGAAAAAATCTTGCACAAAGCTACAAATCATTCAGGTTAACAATAGGATTAATCATTCAGATTACCCAGCTCTTTCAGTTTTTGTTAGATTCGCGTGTGCACACAAAATCGTTCTGATTTATTCGTCTACACTCACCCATGAGTTGGGTCGTAAATTGCCTCTCTTTGGCTCACAAACGTTGTCCATCGAAAGAAAACCAATCGCAGGCGTCGTGGTACTTGTCTTGCCATGTTGGTACTTTGCAGCTGCCGACTGGAAGAACTGTTGACGAATAAATTAAGTAGGGACCTTAAGCAGTCAGGACGGCAACGCCAAGGAAGACTTCGATTAAAAAATAAATTTCTACTCTTAGTTAGAATTTTAAAAATGGCTGCATGAGCTTACTGTCTCATACGACGCCACAGCTCAACACCAGCATGACGTATAAAAGCAGCATTGAGTTCCAAATGGAAATTAAAATAATTTGCCGTCGCGATTTCGGTTCGCAGACGACGTAAATTTTGGCGATTTCACGTTGTTGTTTTGCATAGGACGGCTAAGAAATGTACAAAGTTTCAAAATGCACGTGCTGGGCTATTGATCTGCCAATTAGATCTATTGTTTTTCCACGTCCTCGTTGCCTTCGCCGTCGTGGTTGCTTAAGGTCCTTACTACCCCAACGACTACGAGCATAGCTAGTGTTCGATGTAATTTTGTATGACTAATCCTCCTTAAAAGAACTTAATTCGGTATTATCAAATTAGATAATATGACAAAATTATTAGTCAGTCTCGTGAAGATTGCATGACATATGTGTCAGCTTACCGCAAAGCTCAGTAAGTTGTACCATCGAAATCTGACTGGAGCTTGGCTATTGAAATCCGCAAGACTGATTTGTGCGCCACCCTGAAGTTCAAGAGGAAAAAGTTGTCAGAAAAACCTTTCAGCCAGAGAAAGTTGCCATGGTATCCTATTACTTCGATTTCTCTTAACTAGTTTACAAGGAAATAACCCGTATCAAGGAGCGAGACTTATTATCTAAATCACGTTTGAAGGGCTAACATATTTTTATGCGTAATTACAGTTTCTTTTTATTTTTGATCAAGAAATTTTAACTCACCAGAAGATCTTCTGTTTGAAAGCTGGGTATGACGTGTAGGTTCACCTGGAGAGTTTTACTTGACAGTTTACTCTACAAAAGGCAAAAAAATTGAATGTGAATTAATTTCCCTCTGCAGCACAACTCTGCCATCTCAAATGCAGGATATAACGGGTTAGAAAATAAAAACACATCATTAACTCAAGTAACACGAAATACAGTGAGGGTATGGAAAGAAATTTGTAACTCGCCTTCAATCAGCCAATTACTCCGTTGGCAAGTCAGTCAGCCAGTTAATCAGACAGTCAGTGAGTGAGTGAGTGAGTGAGTGAGTGAGTGAGTGAGTGAGTGAGTGAGTGAGTGAGTGAGTGAGTGAGTCAATCAGTGGTCAGTCAGTCAGTTAGTCAGTGGTCAGTCAAGCAGCGGTCAATCAAACTATCAGTCAGTCGATCGGTAAGTTTATAAATCAGTGGTTAGTTCTTCAGTCAGTCAGATCAGTCCTCTTACCTCAGGGACCGGAATATGAAACTGTTCCTCAAACACAGGATTGTCTTGATAATCACAACGCTTCGTTTCCATAACGCAGCTTTCACTAGGCGAACTCGGTAACAAGACGGCTTTTGCGAACACTTTGCTCTGCGTGGTGTTGCCAAGAGCCTTTAAACCCTTTGCTTGATCGATACACACGATCAGAACTTCGCGATCAACATCATACGAGAGTCCAAGTTTCATCTGAGCCGTGTCCACACTGTCTTCGTCGAAGTCCCCTCTTTGAGCAGCTTTTAGGTTCTCTTGAGATGCGTCAAAGACTCCGCTATCAGCCGCCACGGATTCGTCAGAAGGAGCTGCGGTGACGGGCCTAGTCCCGGTTGGTGGAAGATGGATCTCGCGTCGTCTCAGCGGAAGCGACGGAATACCTTCCGTGATTGGAGACATGGGCGTGAATGGAAAATTGTTAATCGATTCGTTAGACTTAGAGTCAGCGGTTAATAGTCGGAGTCGCTGCTGAACTGGAATTCCGTCGGCCTGAAATGACATAGGATAAGCTAATCAATGATGGGTACTTAAAGCGCTGGTCCGCTAAAAGGGTTTCCTTGGCAAGTTTTGACTTGAAAGGTTTTCAATTGCAACGTTGACACACACACACACACACACAAAAAAAAAAAAAAAAAAAAAAACCGTTAGCATTTGAAAGTGATTCCCCATGTCCCTAACCTAGAATGCCAGTTTTTTACCACTTGCCAAAGGAAAAGTTGTTAATAACAAAATTTGTGAGTGGGTGCAAGTCGCCGAGGTAAGCACAAAAAGGGAACGAAATTTTACTTCGGCAAGTTTTCCTTTCTAATGGTCTTTCGTAAGTTTTCTTTGCTGATAAATAAAGGATAAAAGGTTTTCATTCCCAACTTTATTAGGCGGGAAATATTGCATGCATGAAAGTTTGGCTTCACCACTGTCAAACTTGCAGGGGTAGGAAAGGGTTGGGAAATTTTTACAATCTTCATATTCAATTGGAAGGAAGCAGGGTGTTTTCTTTGCGGACTTATGAACTGAAAAAATGAATCATGAGTAAAACAAACCTGGGGAAAACAGCTCCTGTCAAGCTCTGTCCCATCTAGACATGTACTCTCTCCCTCTGTGGCTATGACACGAACGGTGGCTGGTGAATTCGTCGGAGAGAGATCGCTTGTATTCGGAGAGATCGGCGGCGATTGCGTAGACGAAATCGAGTCGCGTGACGATAGCGAGACCTGCGACGAGTTGCTAGCGCTGTGGTGATTTGCCCTCCCGGATGTCGGCGTGTAACTTGTGGCTGCACCCGTTGTGCGCACTTCGTAGATCGGTTGACACGCAGGGTGAGGCGAAATCCCTTGAAGCAAGTCCGTCACACGTTGATGGAGCTCTCGGAGGTTAGGCGCGTCGCCGCTATGATTCAGATCGGGATAGTTGAGCGAGTTCAGGGAGCCTCGGCTGGAGGCGGATAAAGATCCTCTGCTTCCGGACAAGGAAAGGGAACCGCGGCTTGAACACGAAGAGACGGAGGGAGTACTTCCAGAAATACTACAAAACAAACCGCCACATTTAAAGTAAGTCTATTGGATCCGGGTGGAAAATCATGAACTCTTTTTCCTACAGTAGAAACCTAACACAAATCTTACTTTCTAAGCCGCATGTTGAGAAGGTTTGTTATCTTGGATTGCTCGGCAAGCTGTCGAACTAACATTGATTTCTCAGCTTGAAGTTGAATTCTATCAGCCGTGACTCGATGAGAGACTTCCCTTGCGTGGCTGAGGTCAGCAGCCAGTTTGTCTTTCTCGTTCTCCAGCTTTTTCTGAAAGAAATTGTAGCAAATCATTGTGAGTAGTCAGAAGACAAGATGACAAAAAACTGAGCACAAAGAAAAGCGAAGACAAAGCCTGAATACATATTCGTAAGAAAAACGGTCCAAACCTCACTGGGATTGCTGGTAGGAGTGCTTGACTACCTTCGAATTATTCAGTCAAGACACTTCGGTGTCAAAGATATCTAAATAATTGTCCACGACGCCTTCATAGTCAATTTACCTTTTCTCCCTCGCTTTTGACAAGAGATTTTAGGCGTCTAATTTCATCTAGGAGAGTTTCTTTCTCTTGCAGAAGCGTTGGCCTCGAATTATTATCGTCTGCCATAGCTTGCGTAATTCTTTCGTCCAAACAAGTAATTTCACTTTGCAGCTTCGATTCATTTTTCAGAGATTCTTTGTATTCTGCCTTTAATTCTTGTTTATCCCGCACGGGGAGATGTTCAACGGCCGATTCTGAGCCAAAGTCCAATTGGGATCCAACACTCATTCCCACTCCAGCTGAATCATCTTTGCCCTACACAAAGAAAGGATTTCAAAAATTATGGCACTTATTTTACTTCTTTCAATGTATCGGACGTAATAATGACACCACACGCAACTTGGTCATCTGCGTTTTCCGTGCTTTAATTCGTTGACCCCTGAGACTGATCAGCATCTAATTTCTCCCTTTAATATTACCCCTGAATCACACGTTAAGGTAAGATAAGATAATGACTTTATTTTAAGAGGGTAGCACGTAACAGTTTAAATGCAACTGGTGACCCTGTGGCCCTCTATCCACACCCACCCCACCCCAGGGGAGGACATCCATCACACAGTAATCTCGGGCGTGGGAAATTAACGTCTCCTGCCCCTAACCCTACAGGAGACGGGACCTCCACTTATTCGTCCTTAGCCGAGAAAACTAGAATATCTAACCATTTCTTGATGTTATAGAAAGGTAGAAAATTCGGACCCTCGACCTCCCGCACAACAGTCCAGCGCTCTATCCATTGAGCTAACCGGGAGGCGGTATAAAGGTCACGAGAATAAAGAAAATGATCACCGAGGTTCTTGATTGTTAAATACATTCTCCTTGTCAACACCTAAGGACAGGTATGGAGAAGAGTATAAAGAATGTATGTAGTGATGTTAGAATGTTGAGCAGTCTCCATCTGCTTGTTTTTTTTTTTGTTTTGTTTTATTTACTTATTTTTTTGGGGGAGGGGGGGTATGGTTTTACAACACTCCATCAATTACGCTACATTCAGAACGCAAAGCTTGCAGTAAACTTATTTAAGCATCATTTTTCTGATTCAGACATGACGTAATTGCTTTCACTCTCGCTAAGCTAAGCTCTCACGATGCAATAGCATTACCACGACTCCATACATTTATGCTTAATGTATTCCAAGATGGCGATCGATATGGTCTTACCATGTTCGCAGATTCAGGCTGTGAAAGTTTATCTTTGAGTCTCAACAATGCCTCAATAATTTCATTTCTTTCTTGCTCCTTTGAAGACAATATTCGTTCTGTACTTGTTACTTCCTCCAGTAAACCCTGTACGTCCTCCTTCTTGCAACCTTGACGGGAAGACAACTTCCTATCAATTTTCTTCAACGTTTCATAGCCCTCTTCTCGCGCCTGTACTTCTCCAGAAACTGCTTCCATCTCGGCTTTGAGGACTTCAACCTAGGTTTAGACAGGGCCTACAATTAACCCCTTCACTCCCAAGATCTCGCGAATAATTCTGCCTACTGACTGCTAAACAATTCTTACGATGTTTGTTCGAAGAATTTGGTATTAGATCAAGTAACAATACTCTAATAAATATTTTTAATGAGTCTCATCATTTTTCTGTTTGATATTGTATTGATATTGTGGGGAAAAATTCTGCGCTGGTCACTCATGGAAGTGAAAAGGCTTCGGTTATAAGAACTACAAACAATATTTACAAGTAAAATATAAATAAAATGAAACAGGCCCTCAAAATAAGTGCATTTGTGCTGAAACGCTTCCTGGCCCCCGTGTATGAATGACAATACTACTGCCTAACTATTTGTAGATGCAACTTAAATTACTTTGCCCAGTTATTATAATTTGGAGTTTTGTTTGGAGGGTGGAGAAGTAGTCGTTAGAAACTTAGAGCTTTAGAAAGGAGAGGAGGACAATGGGCCTTGATGACCAACCGCTGTTCAGGAAATGAACCCGCGGTCCTCCTTCGAACCGTAGAGCGAAGACCGAAAAAAAAAAACAAA